TATGGTTACATTCTATAAATTATATTGACATAAATATCAATATATATTACATAGAATATAAGTATACTATATTGAACTATATATTAACTAACTGAAAAGCATGTGAAAACATTATTCCCTAGATATTAAATCAAGAATGAATCTGATAAATGAATAAATAAAAAAGTAAAATATTGAACAAAACTAATATTTTTATTTTATATATTTTTACATAATTTTTCATTTTTGCACAATGTATGCATTTTCATCTTGGTTATAGTCCCAATACAATTCCCACCCCCCAGTTTTGATACTACTCCCTTCTCCCTCCCCCTCCCACCGCCACCCCGTAGTGTGTCTCTGGTTTATAGTTGCTTGTTGATTTTAATTTTTACTTTATTATAATTAGTCTTTTTCCTGGTCCATTATTTAGTTTTTTTATATTCCTGCTATGAGTGAGACCATTTTGAACTTTACTTTTCTACTTCCCCTTTTCTGAAGAGTATTTATTACTGCTTAGAATGATTAAGCAGTATGTCTTTATATTTAAACTGGGGGAAAAAATGAACTCAGTAAACTATTTCACTTCACCAATGATTTTCTTGACTCCTTTTTTGAATAAAAATAAAATAATTTAAAAAGTGGAGATAATTTTATTGCAATGCCTGTTGCATTTAGCAGGCAATTTTTACTAGAGCACATTAAGGTGATACTGAGTCTAGTGGCAGAATTAATTTTTACTATTTTAGTCCTGCCCATGATAGAGACAAATGAGAACATTTACCAAGGTTTTGGGTAATATACTTCGAGGTATCCAAAGCATTTAGTAAATGAAGTGTAGTTGCATGATTCTCCATTAGTAGTTATCTTTACATCTAGGCATGTGTTCTCAGAAAAATTTAGGGAGAATCCCCATTTTGCAGATTTTATCTGTGTATGAAGTTATTGTTGGATGAGATGCCTTTGCATCCCATTTCATTTAATAAAAGAATATATATCCATGCTTAATAATTCTCATGATAGGGGCCTCCCTGGTGGCATAAGGGTTAAGCACAGTGCTGTCAAGCTATCGCCAGCCACTGCAGCATGAGTTCGATCCCTGGCCAGCTAGGGAGCAACCCACATGGCACAGCAGAACTGTCCTGCCTCGTCTACTGCACCCCTCAGCAATGTATTTCAGTATTTCTGCCTGTTCTGTTCCCTACTCTCTCTGGTGAGTCCTCTCAACCCTACACCTCTGGCCTACACCCTAGTTCTTGTATTCATAAATCTTTAAAAAAAATAATTCTCATGATAGTAAAACTTCACAATGCTACATTCTGAAAACTAAAGAAAACACAATATAGATACAAATTATAATGAAAATATATGCTATATACAAAGTGATTATAATTTGCATTAGGTCTGTACAATGAGTTCTTCATTATAGCGTTCTTTCCCTGTGTTAAAACTCTTTCATCATAGACTTCTTCAAATTAAATGATCAAAATTATTGAAGAATAACAGCTCAGTTGCATGTCTTGCCTTTTCTAATTTTTGAGGCAAAGATACAGTAAGATTTAATTTGACTGTCATCAATGGCATACTACACATTAATCCATCCAATAATGTCATTAACTGCCAATCTTGCTAAAATAACAACAACTAAAAGAATTACTTGCTCCATGAAATGTATTCTTAGCCTTGAGCTAAAGATGTTGTTTCTGATGATCTTGATACTTCTGTATAGTGAATGAGACATTATGTAAGCCTCACGTTCCTACAGAATATTCCACATTGCCAGTATAGATAAGAATTGATTGGCTGAGTATGAGTACAATTAGAAAAATTATAGAAATTATTTTGTAATCTATACATAGTTGATATAAATCGAAGGTATCAAAATAGATTACTCAGGTTGGAAATGTTAGGGCATCTATACATAAAATCAATGCACCTTTCTACTGGCACATTCATTTTCCAGATCCATGATGCCTACACACATTTATATAGTGGTTCATACATTTCCAAAGACCTCACAAGTTATTTTGTCTTCACAAAAATTATGTGAATTTACAAAGTCATTATAATTGCCACATTTTTCAAATGATAAGGATGAGTCAGAGAAGTGAAATGCCTTTCCGAGAATTAGAATTTCTTCTTTCAGTCCATTCCTGTGGGCTTACATCATGCTTCCTATAAAGGTACATATAAAACTACATAACCTTAATCAGTTTGATGGGGAACAAAACATCACGTTTTTTATTCCATGTAGCATTCCTAATATAAAAACTTATTACTTCTGTACCAGACTCTGGCTTTGAAAACACACACACATTCACACAACCTAAAATTTTACTAACAGATTAAGCAGACTAAGCAAGTACACTGGCCTAAATCAAAACAACAGCTTCTTAAACAATGCTGTGTAATTCTGGGCTTCTTTATTGTGATTCCACAGGAGGAAGTCTGTCACAGTAATCTCCCTAGCAAATTGAAATTGTATTTCATTATTTGATGCTTGGTATCTAAAATGATAAGGGCATTGCTTTTGAGATTAGAGGCAAAAGAGTTCTTTACTCCTGATATGAGTATGACTTCTGTTTTTTCTATTTTAGGCAAAGCTCGAGCATAGCCCAAACCACATACTCCTAGGTGAGCTGCTGTGCATATCACAACAGTATGAGTTACTGCTGACACAGCCATCACTCTTGTTCTTTCTAGTATTTCTTTCACTCTTTTGCTGATGCCATTATGAAAAATAGTGCTGGCACAGCCTTACAGTCACTGAATAGCTTCTCTTACTTATATAGCTAACTTACCCTTAAAATTTTGTTTGCAAAGACAATATTAATGATATTTGAAGGGACAATTTGTTTAGAGTTCCTTCTTATAGGTTTTATGAATTTATTTTGGTGAGACTCCATATACTAAAGAAGACAACAAAAAGAAAAACAATCAAAAATCACAAAGGACAGTCTTTACAATCTGAACTTAGATATCATAAGACTTTCCTTCCACACTAGCACCTAATTAATTACGGAGTTTATTTTTTCATTTGGCATTTAATAAGGTGAACCTTCTATGTCACTGTACTTTTGTCATCATCAATTCTATTTCTTAATTATAAAATATGAATTTAAAAGCAATGAAAGCTTTTATCTTACTACCCTAAGGCTTTTACACTTCCAGTATAATATATATTAAGGACATTCTCAGATGTGTACATTCTATGTTCATTTTCAAAACCTCTTCAAAAATGTTCTCTATAAGGTCTACATTTATAACTCAACTGATAAAACTATGAAAGAAGGTAAAAAATTATTCAAAAACAAAACCTAGGATAAGGACATTGAAACTTTAGGACATATGGCCATGCTAAAACTATCAAAAGATGTCAGTTTTCACCCCATGTATAATTCTATTGATTATTTTTAATCCAAGATGTATTTTTCATAATGATGAATATGAAGGATTTTGTCATGTGTAGCTGAATGAACTAAAAAAAAAAAAAAAAAAAACCTTACCTAGATGAGTAAGATGTCACCTGTAATAAAGTCTTTTAACATTAAAACATAATGAAATTATAAATCAGTAATAATCCACAGCATAATGAAAATTTTAAACAAAGTTGGTTGAAAGTCTTCTAAAAACCAAAAGATACTTTTGGAAATGCTTTGCTAACCTTAAGATTTGCACTTTAAATTTTCACTTCCATTAAAAATATTTCAAATAATGTATTGGTTATTTTCCTTCAAATTTCTTTAAGGATTTTTAAAATAAATTTCAATGCTACAATTAAACAGCACAAGTAATAATTTAAACATATCATCATATATACCAGATACCAAATATATATATACCAGATACCATCATATATACCAGATACCATCATATATACTAGATACCAAAGTCTAAGTAAAATTATCTCATACATCTGTGCAAATGAACCATGTTGCCTTTATAAAAACAGTTTTGCCTAGGCAAAATTGCATGAGTATAATTAACAAATTGATATGTTATTAGTATTATAACATTTCTTTTATGAGTGATGTAAGTTCACATTTGTTGCTCAGCAGAAGTTGGTAGAATTTGTAGTAGAGAAGTTATAGCATGACTTACAGTGACATTCATTCATATTCCACCTTGTTTAGGTACACTTTGAGTCATATTTACAATCATGACAGACACTTTGATTAAGAAACTAGTAATCATTAAACAACAAAAAAGAATAGTATAAAAACTGACATCTATGCTATATCACAGGTGAATTTTGAGCTTCTGAAACTCGGTAAGTGTTGGTATTTTGTAATTTTTATGTAGCACTAGTTAAAATAAATTTAAACTTTGAGTGTGCCTTAGTTTCCATGTAATGATGGCACTATTACCTACTAATTAATGAAAGCTTATAGAATTGAAATATTTAAGACATATAAAATAACAACCTCCCACCACAGAATGTTCTAGAGCATCAATGCTTCCAGACAGCAAACCCTAGTTCAGTTACAAACATACACAATTATGTCCCTAGAGGATGGATATATAAGGTGCCCAGCTCTTCTGAAAGTTAATGACCTCTTATCAAGTCATTTAATCTTAATGTATATCTGCAACAATAATTCATCAAATATTTCAGCTAATTTTTGTTTTATCACTCTGAAGAAAAAGTTCTCATTTTTCTCTATGTAGAAATAGCCTATACATTTGAAATATTACCTATTGATCACTGTCATATTCTCTATTTTAAATGATAATTTGTCTTTGCTATCAAAAAATTCAATCTATATATTTCCATTTAGAAAAAAATTTGTAGCATTTTGAAATCAATGCATAAGAAAGCTGAATCTATTTTCTTCTAATAAGTAAAAAAGAACTCTTAGAATACAACCATTTAAATGTTTAGTTACTTTTCCTTTATTGGACATTTGATTTTATTTCATATGTCAGTTGGTATTTTCAGTCACTTCTGATAATAAAAACCAATATAACACCAAGCACCCTTTGACTGGGAGTTACCAACAATGAAAGAAAAGTGGACTTACCATGTTCCAGCCAGGATAGAGGTAGTCTGTACCAACAAATTCAAAGTAGTGAGCAAAACCTTCCTTCAGCCACACGTCTTCCCACCACACAGGAGTCACAAGGTCACCAAACCACTGCAGTGACAAAGTGAATGGACATTACATAAGATAAAATCTATACCATCATTATTTCACTGAAATTAAATGTATTAAAATATGATTATCATAACTGGAATTCATTCCCCAATTCATTGTGATCTTAAAACACATTGTGGCAGTACTCAATGGACTCAACTACTTGGGTGACACCAGTTTCTTTATAAATAAGTTCAGTCAAAAACAGAAGCAAAATGGTCAAGAACACAAAAAAGAATATTTAATGACAGCTGTCTTGAAATATTTGTAGGCCTATTATGTACAAAAGGAAAAGGCTAATTTCTTGTGATTTAGCAACAAATCAGGGATAGTGGGTGGAAATCAAGGTTGGTAGATGCCTGCTGAAAATGCAAAAGAAACTACTGGAGTGAGATCGTCAAAGATGGAAATCAACAGCTGGAGAGGTAGTGACAGATTCATCAAAGCAGGCATGGACGCATCGGCTATTCAGAAGAGAAAATGGCTGGTTGGAAGAACTAAGGGCATTTAAATCTTAACTCGAAGATTTTATAATAAGGGTTTGGACAAAAAATACCTCTCAGTGTGATCATAAAAATTTGAGTTTCCATGCTCCCCATCCAAGGAAGGGTGGAGATGAACTGGGAGAAGTTGAAGAAGACATGGAATGGGATTTGGAAGAAACAGGAGGAAGCACATGGAACAGAGACATGTGAAGAAGTTCTGCTTGCTTCTTGGCCTTGTACCAGAGACTTGGGGACATGGAAGAAATACATGGGTAAAAAACAAAAGGGGAGACTGACAATGGCAGCCTTTAACTTGATTTGTACTTGGATTTTGCTTCTTTTACTCTGGACTTGCCTGGCCGCTTCTGCCCCTTTCCTATGGTTCCCTGCCAGAAGGTGCCTTAGACTTATAGCAAGTTTTTGGGCCCTAGTGATCCTGGTTCAGGCCAACCTTGTTTGACTAGGCATTTACTCATGAGAGAATAAGGTAACTTTGGGTGTTTTATTGGGAAACTATTATCCTTTCTTCTCTTTCTATGCACACTAATCTTACTAAAGTTCTTTCACACTAAGGAAAAAAAAATACCTCTCAGATCTCTTCAGGAAAAATAATGTAATTTTTAATAAGTGTTTTGATTTGATCATGATACATTACTCTGAAATCTTTCATTCAATTCAGCAAAAGGTTAACAGTATTTTTTTTCATTAAAAATTTCATTTTAGGGCCTCCCCTGGTGGCGCAGTGGTTGAGCACTGGGCTGCAAAGCTGCCGGCAGCCTCTGCAGCACTGGTTCGTTCCCTGGCTGCCGGCGAGCGTCCCACAAAAAAAAAAAAAAAAATTCATTTTATATTCTAGAAACTATTGTAAAGACTTGGGATTCTATCACGAAGAGCCATATAATATTCTCTTCTCATGAAGTTGATAGTTTATTGGGGAGAAGCGGTGATGAGACAGGAAATAAAAAATAAGCAAATTAATACCAAAATTTCATGTCCTAATAAAATGTGCTAGGAATGGGAAAGGGGCACTTTAGACTGTAAAAGAAAAAAAAAAATCTCTTTAAGCAGGTGACATTTGAGCTCAGACTAGAGATGCGAAGGAACCAGTCATGGGAAAGCCTTGGGCGAGAAGATTCCAGGCAGATGTAAGTATCCTTCAGTGTGAAGACCCTAATGAGAATGAATGACTTAGTTAATAAAGGGAAGGAAAAACTAATAAGTATCAGATCAACTACAACTTTAGCAGCTGTAAAGAGGTTGGTAACCAAACACTTCAATATTAATAATATCACTTATGCAAGAGGATCTCTAATTAAAATAGAGATGAGATAATTCTGAGTATGTTCCTGACTATAAAATAAGTGAGATTTAAAAGTTTTTATTCTTTACCAAAAACTCATGTTTTGCCTTTGAATTGAACCTTCTCTTAGGAATTGTGACTATAGGTGGAGAAAGAAATATAGAAAATAATTTATTAATGATAGCGGAAATGCATGTTTCTCCCACTTCTGGTTCCTTCCCCTATTTGTAGCCTAGCACTACTAAACTACAAGAAAGTACTCAAATTATGAAGCCAATGAAGTCCAGTTCTCAGAACAATGATAACATCATTAATGTAAACTTATTTCAACAGAACCATAAATGTACCTCGTTTCTAAAAATGTTCAGAAAGGAAACTACTTTTGTGTCAAAGAATTATAGGTTTAGTTGGAAATTATCCTTTTCCCATAGTAGGGGATTCCTGATTATCTCTGCCACGGATCCCTTTAGTCTCCAGGCAAGGAACACATGCCCAATCTGGCCAGGGTGACAGGTACAAACATCTAACAGGTTCACTGGAAAAGGTTGACATTTAGGTAAATGGTTACACGGCTTGGACTAAGTTGTCATTCACTATTCATGTATTAGCATTTAGCAGTGTCCCTTGTTTTCACAGACAGTATTTTCTATATTATTCTTAAGTTTTTGTGGCCTTCTAAAAAGCTTTTTGGAGTAATAATAAATTAAAGTCATTTTCTATGACAATGAGATTTCTGATGTTTATACTTAAAATTTTCATAGTTACTGGTTACCAGGATGGGTATTGCTTTCTATTAGTATGAATGGTTATTTTCAGTTATTCTTTTCACTAGAATCAAGATTCAAATAAGTATTGCAAAATCTCTGTAGTATTTTCCACTCTTTGCAAGAAAGCACATAAAATCAAAATGAAATTAATTTTCTCTTAGCTTCACCACAAAGTTGGCTAATTTACATATGAATTTCTAAACATGCCAAGACAAAAAAATATCAATCATTTGAGAACAAAGAGTGTATTACTGAGTTAGTGAAAGACTTCCTAAGTGTCTGTGTGATGGGAAAAGGGGAATAACAAATTGATTTCAGCAAAAGCAAATTTTGACACGTACACAAAACTCAGCTGCATCTTGTAGCAATGCAATAAATCATTGCCATCGCCGCACTTACCATATACACACACCAATAATCACAAGAAAATAAAGCAAGTTTGACAAGGAATAGTGACTAGGTAGGCTTTCTGAAGAGGCTCAGAAGAGGTGGCAGTGTCATCTCCTCAACTAAACTGAATGACAGTTGTTTATTCAATGTGATCAGCGTGTATACTTTTGTTTGTGCTGTCATCAGAGAAAAATGACATATGCTCCAGAAAGAACTACACAGTGCTCTCTATATAATTGAAACTAATTGGGAGGATAATAATTTAGCTCCTAATCTAAGCATCTGAAATCATTCTACATTCTCACAAGTTTGCAATTATACTTACACCTGATCCTTTTTCTCATACCTGGTGACATATCTCATGAACAATGACCATGGTGACATCCAGCAAATAAGAAATAGATGAAACACTGGGATCCAGCAGTATTCTTTGTTCCACAAAAATACTTAGTCCCCAGTTCTCCATAGCAGCATACGGATGCTTAGGCACAGCTAAAAGATCTAGAAATAGAATAAAACAATTCCAAAGGCTTTAACAAAGATACCAGAGTCTAAATGCATATCCTAAAAAAAGTCCAGAAATCCTAATTAGAAAGAATATTCTTAATTTCTAGAAAGAATTTTTTGTTAGGTATTTTTTCCCTAAATTAAACTACCTGCCATTTCTACATGACAGCAGAAATATAGGCTATCACTATAAAGGCTGGCCATATCCATTCATCACAGTTCATTTTCAGACCCAATGCTGTAGGAGTCTGGAAGTATTGGCACCATAATTGATGGACCCATCCTAATAAGTTTCAGAAAGTCAAGGAAACCAAATGCAGCAAGAATCCACAGAGTCAAAGGCATTGCACCGCTAATGAAAATATATTCAGTGCAATGCAGTGAACACTAGATTCTTACTTTTACCTCATTATTTTTCAAGAGAAAACATTTTGTATCAGCTAAAAGTGTGATGTGCCATTTTCTAATTTCTTAAACTCAAATGTATTTTTGACTGTTAAATATAAATGTTACCTATTTTCTCTATATATAATTTCTTATAGAGAAATTTTGGCTTATAGAGAAAAAAAATTGGCTTATAGAGAAAAATATTTGAGAGTGGATGCCATACCAAAATGAATTCTCGGGAAACCTGCAGGGTTTGGTTCTGGTCCTGCTTCTACCATTAATCTAGGTATATAACATTGGTAAATCATCTAATTTCTTCAGACTAAAACTCCCTCACCTATAAAACAAGGCTATTGGCCTTCATTATCACTAGAATTCCTTCCCGCTTCAAAAAGCTATGATTAGAGAATTTTAAGATTAGTGTTTATTTTAAAGGTCATAGAGATATTACCAACTTCTGGTTAAAGTGACACAATAAGTTCATGCTTTGATGATCTCCCTCTGCCCTCAACACACAGTGATGATGAATAAAATATTAAAACAAAAAAAAAATAAAAAAACATTCCCAGGCTTGAAAATAAACCTCTCCATGGGCCAGAAATGGTACAGAAATGCAAAGTAGTGATTGCATGTGAAGCCATAGGCCTGCTGGGTTCTGGCTCCAGGAAAAGGCAGTGGCATCTGGGAATTGGCTCCAGCAGGATCTACAAAAGCCAAAGGGACGTAAGCCAAGCTGACTGCTTGATGCCAGGGGTTAAGGTAGGGCATGCATGTTCCTGAGAAGTGCTGAAAATAGCTAGTACTTATTGCTTCCTGAGAAAATTAGCAAGTGGTAGAGAAGGGATTTGAACCCAGGCAGTCTGGCTCCAGTATCTAGCTCTTAATCACAGAGACACAGTGTTCCATCTCTGACCCAGAAGTTACAGCCTCCAATATAAACCCAGAGTAACTCCCTAGAATGCCAAGAAAAAATGGTACAATAATTTTCTCTACAGTATTGTTTGTAAGAGTGAAAAGGGAAAACTAAATGACTTTCATCATGATGATGGGCAAAGAACATGGGAGATAGCTATATAAATCAATAGTATAGAGCCTTGAAACAAATGATCTCCCCACTAAGTTCTAACATTGTTAAGATAAGCATGGATGATCTGAAAAACAACACTGAGAGAGCAAGTGAGGTATAAAACTCTTACCATATAGGTACTAAAAATACCATATGTTGTAAACAGATACTCAAATGCACACAAATACACAGATAGTAATGGCAAAATGCACATACAAACACAGATATTAGAGATGAACAACAATTCAAAATCATGATTGCTTCAAGGAAAAAAAGAAAATAAATGGAAGAGGGACAATATTTTAATTCCTGGACCCAATTTCAATGTATGTGTGTGGGGAGGGAGGCACATGAACAACACCTTCCTGGTGTTCAAGAATTACATTAAATTCTGACACTATCTACTCATAAATAGCATCAGATTCCACAGGTTAAAGGTTCTATCCTACAAGACTGTCCACCCACCCACACCCTAGATTGTTACTACTGCTTCTGAATGCCAACTGTAAATCAGAGGTTTCTTCTTTGGGTCTACTAATTTGCCAGGGTGGATCACAGAGCTCAAAGAAACAAAGTACTTACTAGGCTGCTGGTTTATTATGAAAAGCAACCAGATTGAAAAATACCTAGAGTAAGCATCAGAAAGAGCACAGAGCATGCTCTGGAAGCATGCTATTCTGCCCACACTTCTCCATGTTTACCAACCCAGAAGCTCTCTAAATCCCATCTTGAGGTGTTTGATGGAGATTTTGATAAATAGGCATGACCAAAAACATCATTGGCCATTGACAATTGAACTTTATCTCCAGCCCCTCTTCTCACCCTGGACGTCAGGGACTTCTGAAAGTTTTACCCTAAAAGAGAAAAATCACTTGATTGGTTCCCCTGGCAATCAGCACCTTTCCTAGGCAGGTTCAAAAGTCACCTCATTAACATAATAAAATATACCTGGATTGCTCCCTACATTTTGGAAATTCCAAAGGTTTTGCAAGCTGTGAGCCAGAAACTGTGGATGAAGACCCAATGACCAAATATTTATTTCTCATAACACAATAATGCAGACAGTTACATGAAGGATTTCAAATATGTCTTTAACATTAATTTTTTTGAAGGAGGTGATGGGTATATGGGTATTATTTGTAATATCACTGATTATTTTTTCTGTGCTTTAAATATTTTATAGTAAGAGAAAGGATAAAAGGAAAACAGTCTTATAATATTGTTGATCTCCATATATGCATGACTTAAACATTTCAGCATTTGCTGTGTCCTTAAGTCTGGAACTTTGAAATAAGTCAAACACAGTTTCTGTACCCACTACATTTTAGACTAAGAACAAGGACATGACAGTTTAACACAAAAAAGAAAATAAAAGCAAGTAAGTAAAGAATAAAATGTGCTGTGAAAAAGAACAAAACTGGATGGAGAGGTTCTTGAAAAGATGGTATTTAAGCTGGACTTCAAACAATAAATAGGATTTCACCAGGCTAAGTATTATAGGCATTCACTTATACAAAAGGATTTTTTGAGTGTCTCCTTTGCTCAATAAAAGCACTGTTGTATCTTCAAGTTCTTTTCTCCCTGCTTCATGTTGTTCCTACTCCTAATGTGGGTGTATGTAGGAAGATGAGGTCAATTAACAAGTAATAAATGAATGAAATGAATTTAGTAAATGATAAAAGCTACATATGAAATATGATAGAGTAAGACAGTGATTGACTGATGGGGTGGATGTAGTGTGGGGTGGACAAGACAGGCCTCTCTAAAACAATCCCATTTCATCTGAAATGTGATTAATGGTAGAAACCAGCTGTTTGAAGAGCTGTGGGCAACAATGCCAGCCCCTATCAGAAAAGCATTGAACAAAGAGAAAGAAGATCAGGTTGGCTGAAGCATATAAAGGAAAGGAATGTTGGCTCAGAGAACTGGTACAAATTGTAAGCAAAGAACAAACAGACATACTCTACTTAAGGTTTTAACTTCAGACCTTCCCTAAATATGAATCAGGTAGTGGAACAACCTTGTGTCAACTCTGCCCGCCACCAGCAGGTGACAACAGCAGTAGGCCGTCTAGTATCATTTGCTTGTAGGAACACATTAATTTAGGAACAATTCTTTAGGATCAAATGTGTTGTAAAACAGAGGCACCTTGGTATGCTGGAGTTCTACAAGAGTTGAGAAAGTAGTCAGGTCCCAAAGACTAAGTGAGATTATCAAGTCACGCACTGGGACTTGGATTTGCTCAAATAGCTGAGATATCTCTGTCTCCTAACCTGGGTGAGATCACAGTCTGGGAGCCAGGGGCAGTTCTCTGACAGTCAAAGCCTGGCCAGCAGTGTAAGCAGATAGAGGGAGGTGGCATATGAAGGTTGGTACCTAAGATATCAAGCAGTGGTGACCCCAGCAGACAACTGCTCTCATATTGGTTTCCAGAGGGCTGCAGGACAGAAGTCAGGCCTGGGTAGCAACCCATCAATCAGAAAAGTAATGAAACTTGATTCAGACAAAATGATTGGGATTATAAATTATAGGAGGCAGCTTCTCACACACAGACAAGCTTCATAATAAATATGGGGGACCATGCCTATGGAAGGGAAAAACTGATAAAATTAGATTATGCCATTATACCCATAATAACCTTATAATAAAGTACTGAAGAGAGTTACTCTTTCGAACAACTACTGAGAGATTTTCACTGTGTCTCTATTCTATACCTTCATAACTTAAGGAATCGCATGTGAGAGTTCTATGAATAAGAATACTTGCACAAAGCACATATCCATATAAAGATGTATACACAAAAATGTATAACAGTTTCACTTCCAATTGCCTAAAACTGGAAATAACTCTAATGTTTATCAGCAGGTCATTGAAAAGGGTAGTATATGCATGAAACAAAAAGCTATTCAGCACTAAAAAGAAATGAACCATTGATACATGAAGCAACATGGGTGAATCCCAAACAGCTGTACTGTGTAAATGTGTGTATGTGTGTCTGTGTATGTATTTATGCACACACACACATACACACACATTATGGTACTAGTCATTGATATAAAATTGGAGAAAATGCAAAGATCTATAATGGCAAAAAGCAGATCATCATCACTTAAGGACAGACATGGGGTTAAAAGATTGTAATAAAAAAATTTTGGTTTTGATAGATATGCTCATTATGGTGATGATTTTGTGGGTGTTGTACTTATCTTAAAGAATCAAATTGTATATTTTAAGTCTGTGCAGTTTCTTCATACCACTAGACATCAATGAGTTGTCTTAAAAAGTATCTTCAGTAAATGAAATATTCGTTTGTGTAACTTTAGAGGGATAAGATTTATTCACAATGAATTAAATTATTTTAATTTTTACAAAATAAATTTGTCACGAGGCTATATCCATTAAAATGTGCAACCATAACTCTTTAATATGCCTTGAAAACGGGAGTAAGAAAACTCAAATATTTCAGAATCTAATTTACTTGGAAATTCAAAGAAAATCCTGAGCAAAATTATGCAGGGTAGTCTGTTTTCAATTACTACAG